GCGGGCTGTGATTTTGGCGAAGGTAGTGAGGTAGGGGGTTTAGTTATAGGAGGATATTAGCTTTGCCTCTAATTCCTTTAGGCTTTTAGTAGTCTCTAGGTCTCCACCTTAATGCAATCTAACGCGATTTTTCTAAAGGTAATCTAGCACTACCTATAGGTCTAGAAGTCTAAGCCTATAGGCTTTGGTTATTAGAAGTTCTAATAGCTATTCTAACTATAGAGTTACAGGGTTAGATAGCTACTAGAACTAAATTAGTAGCTTAAAATAATAACAAGTACAATATTCTTAAATGCTATTACTAGCTAGGATAATATTCTTCTTATAATATAATAACTTAGGTAGGTAGGGTATCTAAAAGGTATCCTATACAACTTAAGGGCATATAGGAGTGCGCGTTAGTATAGAAAAGGATAAGATTCCTACACCTATAGGTCTTGTATAAAAGGACAAGAAGAATATACCTATCCTAACTATAGGCGAGCTGTTCTCTATATACATCAGTGAGTCGGGCCTTTATTAGGCCTGACTTGGCATAGAATAATAGGCAGGCAATTCTGCCTTATTGTTACATTACTCTTCCTTAATTAACAAGCTCTATATAGGCTAGGGTAAGGATCCCTTAATCTACTATGTTATTAACCTATATAAAAAGGTTCTAGATTACTAATAACTTTAATGCCTAATCTAATAAGCAGGCTTAGTACTAAGCTATTTAGAGTTTATACTACTTACTTATTATATTAGATAGCGCGATACCTATTAGTATATTAGGCTTAATAGGTTTATTCTTAAAGTGGTTTTTAATATCCTAAGTATTAGGGTCTACCTCTGCCTAGATCCCTTTAGTTAGGGCATGGTATCTAAATTAAATATACTAGGTAGGCTAGTTAGTTAATCTAGTAAGTAGGGTATCCCCCTTTAGGATTTAGTTGCTTATAGTAGAAGAGTAATAAGTAAGCTTCTGCTTAAGAAATAGTATAAAGAAAGAGTAAAGCTTACTAGCTTAGTGTCTAAGTTAAATAATACGCTTAAATAGATAGGACAATCTTTAATAAGGTAAAGCGCAAACCAGGCTTATAACTATAGAAATTTAGATTACTAAGGTTAGGAATAATTTAGGAGATAGATTATTAGATTATATCTACTATAATTAGACTTATATATATAGAGCTTTAGCTACCCTTACTAGAAGGTAAATAATTAGTAAACCTTCCTTACTAGAGCTCCTGCTTTTTATTAGGCACTTAGTAGTAAGCTAGCAGTTGATTAGATAGTGGGTTATAGAGGGGTATTGATCAGGATTAATTGGATCAAGATGCTCCGTGATCCGGTTGATATCCCTCCTGCAACAGTTAGTAACTATAACATATTTAGCTAGGTTTTAGGTAGCTTCTTAGATAGTAGCCTTAAACTGCTTAATATCCTGCTAAAAGGCCTCTAGGGTCTACTTAGTTATATAGCCTTTAGGTAGGTTTATAACTAGGCTATAGTATTTATCTAGAGCACCTCTTAGGGTAGAGAACTTATAGCTAATATAAGAAGGAATTAATTAGGATTAGAAAAGGAACCCTATTAGACTTAGATACTAACTAGATTATAATACTTATTCTAGGAAATATAGTACTAGCACTTCTTAGAGTTCTTAGACTTAAAGTTAAAGTTATTAAACTTGCCCCTAGCTATAGCCCTAATAGCTATTATATAGAGAGCGCAATAAGTAATAGGGAGGACTCTTAGTAGGACTAGTACTAGTATAGTAAATAGTGCTAGTTTAGATTAGTAACTACTTAATTATATAGATTAAATACTAACTAGATTTTAGATAATATAGGTTAAAAGTTTTAAAAAATTAGGGATATAAGAATAAGAAAGTTAGTAGGTAGAGGGCTAGATATAGGTAGGCTATAGATAGTAGTCTATACCCTAGGAAGCTAGAAGTAAAGTTAAAGGTAGAGGTAAAGGTGGATTTATTTTATAAGAGCTTTTCTTTAATAAGGGATCTAAACCTAATCCTAAGGATAGGGACTATCCTTTATCTATAAGAGGGGGTAGTATAATAATAAGGTAGAATTACCTACCTATTATTCTATACTAAGTTAGGCCTAATAAAGGCCTAACTTACTAATATATATAGAGAACAGCTTGCCTATAGTTAGGATAGGTATATTCTTCTTATCCTTTTATACAAGACCTATAGGTGTAGGAATCTTATCCTTTTCTATATAGACGCGCACTCCTATATGCCTTTAAGTTGTATAGGATACCTTTTAGATGCCCTACCTACCTGCGTTATTATAATAGACCTACTATATTAGCCTTTCTACTATATTAGGTTACGCCTAATTATTCTAAATATCTAGCGCATCTATCTCTATTACTATTATAGTATATTTAGAAGAAAATACTAAAATATTATAGACTAGCCTTAAGGGAGAATATAATAAGCGTTAATAATAGTATTTAGTATCTTAAAGGAGAGGTAAGCCCTCTACGCCTTTTTATAGGTGTGTAGCGTGTTCGCTTAGTAGTAGTGGTGTTAGACTTGGTCTATCTTGTGTTAGGCCCAGGCTTGGGCATAAGCCCAAGCCCTTCACAGGAAGGGCGGGTAGGGCTCTAAGAAATTTGTGGAAAA